AGGGTTTTGCTTTCTAGATAAAGTAAAAAGAGACAGCATTCATACCCACATCTTGGAAAATTAGAGACCCATCCAAACCCAACCTGTAAATGGACAGTGTCTGAAAAAGAGACTGTGTCCCCTTTCCTTTTCATATTTTGCCTGTGTCTCTATCACTTTCTAAAATACACATGTCAGGACATACTTGAGCAGCAATTTTTCTTTGTCTATTCTTTTTTAATCTGTGGAGCCTGTTAAAAAGAACTGTATCGACGTAACTTCATGGTGAAGATGATTTGCCTGGGATGCAGAGGCTGTACATTAAATGTAATTTCTGGTGACAGAAAAAAAAAAGTAGCAGTTAGCTTTCAGGTCACTCTTTGAAGTCTCATCCTAAAAGCTGTCATTGAATGTGTATCCCTGGTCTCATTTTGAGTCACTAGTATGGCCCTCAGCAAGACACTAAACTAAATACAAGTTATCCCTCATTTTTCGTTAATAAAAACAAACAACATTACTTAACATCACAGAAAAAGAATAAATAAAATGCGAGAGCAAATTAGAAATACAATCTATTCTTTAATTGACTAAAACTTTTACCCAGAAGAGAAAGCATTGACGACATAAGGTAAAAAGATCCATGAGTCTACCTAACAAGGATATGCTACTGCTACACCTAAGGACACCTAAATGAGCCTAAGGGAAATTTCCCCAAATTTCCACATAAATATAGGTAGCCAAGAAACTCAGAATTCTCACAATCAGACGGAGACACATTAAAATCAATTTGAAGAACCTAATCCATCCCACCACCAGTCTCTAGGATGCTCCCATGACTTGTGGAGATCAAATAGCCTGGCAGAATTCTCCAGTGCTAGACCCCTGCATTTCTATCTAGACCGCCCTCTCTCAATCGTAGGCATTCTCTTTCTGGCAACACACAAATGCACTCACAGTACAGGTAATAAAAAAAAAGGACCCGCACCAAATTATAAACAAACCACTTCTACTTCTCAGCCAACTTAATCCTGCTGCAAGGGACTTGAGAGTGGACATATATTTTAACAAGCATGACTAATTGAGTCTTAAATTTCTAATCTGGATCCTCTTCCCCTTAACTTTTCTTTTCATGGTTGTTATAAAGAGTTTGGAGAAGCTGGCCTTGGTACTGTATGGCTGTAGTCCCAGCTACTTAGGAAGTTGAAGAAACAGAATCACTTAAGCCTAGGACTTGAAAATTAGTCTTGGGAAATCCGTGAGGCCGATGTCAACTACATTTCATAAAATGAGTCCTGGGATTACAATGATCCTATCACTGTTTATATAAAAAGTTAAAAATATCTACACACACACACTCAAATCAAGTCGCTCTTTTTTAATTGTTGCTTCCTCTTTAGTTGTAAGAAATATAGCCTTTTTCTTGAAGTGAACTGCCTAGAGTTAACCATTTCTAAGCAACAGAGACAGATCATTTGTATAAAAATATTTGTTATAGCTTATTTTCCACCTGCTTTCCTTGTATTTATCCCTGGAAAAATACTGTAAAATGACTATCTTTCTATATTTCAGGGAGAAGTCAATGTGTGACTACATATATTATTCTTAACTGACCACAAATTTGTACTCTTGTAGTCAAAGTTATGCTTGTAACTATATTCCCCGACACTGTGGAATACTTTTATTTCTGAAACAAAAATAAGATCCCATCCTGAACTGTATTATCAATCTTTTAAAAGCAGTATTCCTCAATTGAATGTCAACTAGAAAATAACAGTGGGTTTATGTTGTGCTTATTAAAAAATGACTATAAAACTGTTTTCAAAATAATTGATATCTTATATGTCCTAATTCTTAAAGTTGTCTTTGCAGCAGAGTTCCCTGGTTGTCATAAGGCCCAGATATAAGCATACCATACAACCATCAAGTTCCCTATAGTCTACATTAATACAGATCCAACTGCTTCTATTGCTCATAATTCATGTTTGCTTGCTGGTTATTTGATAGTGAAACTACTTGTACCCAGACACAGTTTGTTATCTTAGAACGAAAAGATCCACTTTATTTTATATGAAACTCAGCTTTCCATTTTTGAAGTGAGTATCATATCATACCAAGGGAGAAGCAGAAAACTATCACAGAGGGATGTTATTTCTGATTTCTACTTCCTTAACATCACATTTATAATGGTCTCAATCCATCTGTTCAATCATTGTCATATTTCAACAGCCTGGTACATACCTGTAACCCCAGCTGAGCATTACAAGGAAGAGGTCAAGGCAAGCCTGAGCTACATAGTGAGACTCTGTCTCAAAATAAAAACAACAAAACCAACAGAACGGAAGCATCTTTATGAAGTAAAGGTGATTGCAACCTGTATCACTTTCAGGACTCTTGAGCATTTTAACATGGTAGTGCCCATTGTTTTAACAACAGGACAGGATCAGGATATTTCTCTAATATGCACTGTAACTTATTCTTCACATATCCCGAATCCCAGTTTATAATCTAGCAGACAGAATCTTTTATTTCAAAAGAAAAATTCTGCCACTTTCTTGACTTTCTTTCACTAGAGACAGAGTATGTATAAAACTTGATGAATGAATAACTTCATCACGTACAGCTTTTCACTCCCTTTCTTCCCGCCCCTCTTTCCTAGATGCAAAGACAGCTGAATGGAGAAAAGAACTGTACTTTAAGCTATATTGTCAACATCCATACAACAGCCAAGAGCTTGTCACCATTCCTTCAAATGGGTAGTACTGTGCAGCCACTCAAAAGACAAAACCTTTTTTTTTTATTTCCAAGCTGCTTTTTTACTTCTTCATTGTGTAAAGTGGGACAGATAATAAGACATCTACTGGCTAAAAGGATAACTTTCACAAGTTCCTGCAAGTACAGTGAGAGGCAAGAGAACCCAGTTTAGGGAAGCAGAATGCAATGAAGAGAATCCACATTGTAATCTACTTTGTATTTTAGGTTCTTGCAAGTGTGCAAAAAGGCTTTCTGTTTAAATTAAAAGCTGTGCACAAAATCTGTTCCTTTCTGGAATATAGACTGCCTACTTTCCTGTACACTTCAACATTTATTAAACAGTGGTATATACAAAACATTATTTAACTACAAGATAGGTACAAATACACTCACAGGCTGTGTTGGCTACCAGCTCAGTCATAGGTTTTATCCTCCTTAAAAAGAAGCTGTTATGAAATGCTATTTCAGGTTGAGAAAAGGCTATTTTATAACAGTCCTGGGACTCATTATGCATTCTCAAAGCAGGAACGGAAATCAGAGAAACAGAATGGTTCTTACAAGCAGAGCAAAGCAAAAAGTCACCGCCCAGCACTGGACCAATTCTCTCTCACATTTTCATATAAAGTCTCTAGTCTCATCCCTCTATAAGGCAGCAGAACAAACTGGGAAATGTTCTCACACCTATAGTGTTCTGGCCCCAAGGTCTAATACTTTCGCTTTTTATAAAGATGTATTTGGCCCAAAGTCATTCAGCCACACAGCTTATAGAATTGAGGACTACGTTTGGAATCATTTAAAAACGAGAATTTGATTTTTGTCATCCTTCTTTTTTGCAACTGTCTATTGCTCTCCCTCTAGCACCCCCTTTTTCAAATATGATTGCTTCCCATGGGTCTCTGAAAGCATTGTGGAATTATTATACAGTAAATTCCATTGTTAGCAGCATGGGTCTTTGTTTCTAGGTAGACTGCAGCACCTGGGCAGAAAACCTGCAGTAGACTTTAGTAGGTGCAAAACAATATTTTCCATCCTTTCCAGTTTCTACTGCTTGGGAGAAGTAAAAAGCACACAGGAGCACAATAATATCAGCTGAGTTATAGACAAAAGTCTATTTAGGCTATGCTTAGAGAAGTGTTCTAAATACTTGGGAAAAGCATTTTCCCCAAAGCATCACAAATTTTAAAAAATTAAATTGCTTTAGTATTTAATGTTTATTTAAGGACTAAATTTTGCACAGGCAAAGAGGAAATGTGCCTACAATCAGGAAAAAGCCAAAGTCTCTGGTAAGGCTCATTGTCAATATGCCTTTCTTCAGAAGGAGGAAATATCTGGATCAATTATATTAAGTGTTGGTGTCCAGTCATTGGCCCAGGTATATCAGCAGTCTGTTTTCCAACCATTATATCAGTAATCACTCAAAGCCTTACTAATTAAACCAAGATGCCTGCACTGTGATCAATCACCAATCATTTCACAATTAAATCTTGCAGCAGTTTTATTTTAATTGATGCTTTCCCATGAACTTTACATACACATATGGAAAGGCTATGGGGGTCAGAGGCCAGTGTATAAATAGCAATTAAGAACATCTAGATGAAAAGAACTCCCTAAAACTATTGGAACAAAAAATTCACATGTATGTGTGTTATGTGTGTTCATACTTATCATTACACAGTGTTCTGAAAAACACAACGTATGTGTGCCAAAACCATTATAGAACAGCACAACTAATGGCCTACTGTTAAACTTCAGTAGAACCCGTTTTAATGTCTCTTTCTTATCATAGAAGCATTTTGTCTAGTGCTAAAAACTAAAGCTGCCTTTATAATACTCCCCTATAATGTAGAGCCATCATGCCCTTCAGCTTCAGGTGGTAAAAGCAAGCTGCCCAAATGTATTGACACGGGGAGGAGGGAAGAGATGCAGTTCTGCTGTGGCCCTGCTAAGGCATCCCATGAAAATGGGAATGTTAGTTAGAGAAAGCATTTGCTAATGACAAGCCATGCAGGAAGTTCCTTTAAATTAAAAAAGAGAAAAGGGGGAGGGAGAGGAAGGAAAGAGGAAAAGAGAAAAAGCAAAAGAAAAAAGGAAAAAAACAAGAAACAAAACAACAACAACAAAAAAAACACGCAACAAGTTGCAGTCAGTGTTAAACTGCCTTCTGTTTGCCATTTCGCGGGAGTAGTAAAAAAGTTTAAAAAGCAGCGCATTTCGTCGGCGTCCTAGCACAGCAGCCAGTTTCATAAACCCAAATTCATCAGCAGCCTTACCTTCCGTCGCTAGCGCAAACCTAGAGGCTAAGGGACCCTGCTCTCAGTGGCAGCCGTAGGGGCAGAGGCAGCAACAGCGGCACATGCCATCTGTTAGCGGGAGAAGCAAAAAAGCAGCGCTGCGCGAGGTGGCCCCCGTGCCGGGAAAGCCTTTAGCAGGGGTGTATAGTGGATGCCGCCATTTTAAAGCGAGGTTCCTGAAATCCTTAGATATAGGCAAATTAAAGCCCGCCCCACCTCCATAACTTCAGGGCTGGGACGTGCTACCAGGCTCCAAGTCAGCAGCAGCAGCGGGGTGTACGGTGTCAAGTCCAGCAGCACGCGCTGGGAACTCCGGGGACCAAGACCACAAGCCCTAAGGTGCCATCCACCTCCGCCCCCAACCCCCCTGTTCCCAGGCCCCCACGCTTTTGCCTCGGGCCTGAGGACACCCTAGTTTGTGGCGTGCCCTCCGTAAGGAGGGAGTCCCCCCAACTTGGCCAACTGGCTCCGGGAGGGGCCCGGGAGCACGCCCTCCCACCCCCCGCGCTCGCATCCGCTTGGTTCAGTCCACTCGGCGCACACCTCCGAGCGCCCCAGCTCCCTGGCGGCCGCGGCGCGCGCGGGCGGGCGGGCAGGCAAGCGGGCGAGCCGGAGGGCGGGCAGGGGCAGGCAAGAAGGGGGGCTCCCGCCGCCGAGGTTCGTGGTTACAGTGGCAACCGGCCTTCATCCCACCCACCCCCACCCCCCACCTCATCTCCCCCAAAGTCAGGCCCCGAGTCAAAGGCGTGTCCTAGGTTCTCCCCCGCACCCCTCCACCGTGTACCCCCACACCACACACAAAAGTCCCGCATCCCCCGCGCTTCGCCAGGCCGACCCCCGCTGCCTCTCACTTTAGCACTCGGCCATTCCGGAGAGACAATTTGGTTTTTCGGAGCCCGCAAGGCAACTCATGCCAAACTCCTGGAGTCGCAGGCAGCCGCCGTCCTCAGCCGCCCCGGGTCGGCCCCGCCCCGCCCAGCCAGGTAGCGCCACTCACTCCGCCTGGCCGTCGTCCCTCACCGCCACTGCCACCGCCACCGCTCCCGCCACCGTCCAACCTCACCTCTCCGAGCAGGCGACTCCGGCGGCGTGTCGCTGCGAGGACGCCACGCGCAGGAACTCCCCCCGTCCGGCGCTCGCTGCCCCGATTCCCGCGCCCCGGCCCGGGACCGTCTTCCGCCTCCTTGCGGCTCGCTCGCAAAGAGCGCCAAAAAGTCGCGCTCCTGCTCGCCGCTCCGACTGGGGGCACTTTCTTCCTGTAGGACGCACTTGCGTCGTGAAATCTCGTCTTTGTGAGAGTCGTACCTTCTCGCTTGCTTTTCGGAGACTGCTGGCGTGGGCTTTATTCTCAGGGGGTGTGGCGCCTTCCCCCACCCCACCCCCCCAAGCCCCTAGCTTGCACAAACCCTCGTCTAGAGTGGCTTTTGTCATTGCATTATTAAGTGTGTGTGTGGGAGGGGGGATGGGGGCAAATCATACCGTTCAGTATGTACAGAGGCAAAGCCGGAGGGAAGCATGCACACACCACCCGGGTGGGTCGGGAGCGCGAGCCGGCTCTAAAGTTTCTAGAGCTTCAGCTACTGCAGTGCCAACTAGAGAGGGAATTGTTACGCGAAGCTATAGGTTTCTAGACACTCCCGGGGCAGGTGAGGTGTACTAGGAAAATTCCAAAATGACCTTGATCGATATGTACGTATTTCAACTCGTGGAGAGTGAAATACTCACCGTTTGCCTTCCTGGGTCTCCTCCCTTCCATAAAACCCCAGATCTTTTATTTCTCTCCAAGAACTTGAGAGCAGAAAACTGTTGATCAGTTCCCCTACTGCAAGGGAGTTTACTGGGGAGGAGGAGCCCTCGAGGTAAGATTCCAGATACTTCTGAATGGAAAATGGACAAAGCAAACGCAGTTTTTTTATACTTGGGTTTTAAAGTGTGCATCTGGACATCTAAATTACAAGTTTCAATTTAATGCAAGCGTAATAAGAGCACCAGCTGTCTCTTAATTGGAGCCCCACAATAATAAACGCGTGCTTTTATTTAATTTTATGAGGACAATTGTGGATGATAACACACGCATATGCAGGATCGTCAACGAGGAGCTCGTAGCAATTCATGGCTGCTCTCCTGCATGCAATCAACTGCTTCAGCCTAGAACTCGGCTCTATAAGCTCTACACAAAGTGCAAAAGCATTGCAGGGCATATTTAAGTGGCAGTTAGGTTGTGGAGCGAAGTGAATTCTCAGGCTAATTATACTTTTTAATTCTGCTGAACTGATCCAAATAGAATTCAGCTCATTTTAGGCAAGAAATCAATCTCTGTGTGTTAAATGCAAAATAATCAGAGTACGACAGCAATGGTTAGAAGACTGGGCACAAACTGCCCTTCACATAATTAAAATCTGCAATGGCATTTGGCAAGAATTGGGAAAGTCACCAGGACAGTGTTCAGGGACCGTGTCAAACACTTGAGAGTTATGGCTAAGATCCTAACAAGTCAAAATAAGGACTTCCTGGTTACCTCATGCACTCCTAACTACTCCCACGCCTTCTTTCATTCTTGCCCAAGTCCCTGCACTACTGAAAAAAAAAAAAAAAAGTCAAACTTGTCTGGCATCTAGGAAGTGGTTTTGCCAGTCCAGGAGCCACCACAGAACTCTAAAGAGGTCTTGGTTACTTCGAGAGACTGGAAGACGGGCAAGGCTGAATTATATAACTTTATGCACAATGACCCAACAAATGAGAAGCTGTCATGTTAATAACTCAACAAAGGAGTCTTTATACTAAACTTGGGCAACACCGGTTCCCTCACCTCTGTCTACCATTGCAATCCACAACTCCTGCGGGACACACAGGTTTTTCCTAATAACTGCACAAACAGGCCCACTTTCACTGTTCTGGAGTTGCTAGAATGATTGTTTCCTTAGGAACTTACAGTACACCTCAAGGACCATACCCATTTAGGGGACAGTAGAGTTTCAACATTGTCTCTTGCCTGAAAGTGCTAGCCAGTGAAAAACTGCAATTGAGATTTATTATTTTCTGGAGGGAAGAGTAACCTTATAAATCAATTTTAGCCAGTAAATAGTCTCTTTGGCTCCTCTCAGACATTGTGAGAGGAGCATAACCAAAGAAAAATAGGGTCGTGTCCTTCCCAGTACTCTAGATGGTTTCTTACCATAAATGTTTGTACATTCGCATTTCATAACACTTCCTTCTACTCCTCACTTGCATTTTGAGATCTTCTTGGCATCATTGCCCTGATGGATCTTCAAAGGTTACAGTTTGATTTGAAATTGTCATTCCTGGCCCTTTGCCCCACCAACCAGTCCAATGGGACATGTGAGCAAACCTTTACACATACCTTGGGAGCATTCTCTTGAAGCTCTTGCTGCATTTTAAAGCTGCAATGGACACTTACACATCAAAATGGAAGGCAAGAACTGGAGGAGCCTCAAGTAGTGTCTTCTTCCAGTAAAATATATTTAACTTTGACTAATATAATAGGAAAACTGCTAAAACCGATACAATGATTTCATATCAGAAGTATTACTGTAATCCACGAACAAATATGGACATATTTTTTTTTTAAAGTACTGGATAGGCAAACTGTTAAAAATCTGTAATGTGTTAGTGTGCCATGGTTTTAAGGTTTTTTTTTAAAAGTTCTTATTATATTGTATTCGATTTTCTGTTCCCCCCTCAGCTAGGCAGCATAATTGATTTATTATTCTCTTTAAAAGACAATTAACCTGTGCAATTGGACATAAAAGCAAGGCCATACTATGACAAAGAATAAAAAGCATCTCCCTCCTGTTTTGAATCTGTGACACTCTTCTCACCCGCCCTATATTATGAGCAACAGTAGCACTGGTTAATTCTTGCTGTGTTCTAGAAATGCTCTGCAGGCAGCAGCTTCCCTGCAGCTCTTGTCTTCTCACTGAAGGGTGGCTCAAGAGCCATTGGCATTATTCACTCGTCATTCACCCATTCCTGAAAGGCCTTCTCCATTCAGAGTTGGGAATTTGGAGTTTGTGCTTCACACAAAGCTTCCAAATAAAGAAACATGAAAAAAAAAAGCAGAATCTAGTTGTTAAAAAAAAAAAGTTTAGACAGTCAATGGATGTTGTCATCCAAGGTAACGCTTTTATAAAACAGTTTTTATAAAACTGCATTTCTTAGACAAGAAATGAAAAAATGATCCAGTAAGTAGCAAAATGCTAGAATAATTGTTAAGCATTGATAATAAGTTGATCAGCAATTCTCAGGTTGCAAAGACATTTAAAAAAAACTTGGGCCTTTTTTTTCTGTTACGTAAAGTTGTCAGAGTCACGTGGACACATTCTGATAAATGAAGTCAAGAAACACACTGGCCCAGATTAGCTTACAAGGTAATTTTTCTCCAGGCCTTCCTTTGAAGAATATGTAGTATAAATTATCCTTGATAAATATATATATTTAAAAACATCTTCAGAGGGAAATATGCTAAAAATAACACATAAAATGATACCCCCCAAAGACAAAACAAAATGGTAGGAATGTTATTTAAAAGATCTATCTATCTATCTATCTATCTATCCATCCTCTATCTATCTATCTATCTATCTATCTATCATCTATCTACCTATCCACCTATCTATTTTTGGTTTATCGAGTAACAGCCTTGGCTGTCTTAGAACTCACTCTATAGACTAGGCTGACTTAGAACTCACTCTATAGACTAGGCTGGCCTTGAATCAGAGATATACCTGCTTCTACCTTCTTAGTCCTGAGATTAAAGGTATGTGCCACCATTTTCCGGACCTGGACCTGTATTAGGTCGTTTAATTCTCATAACAACCACTTTATGGTGATGGTGATGATTTTCTCATGTTAAAAACAGATACAGCAAGAGTTCTCACAGTAAAATAGAACAAGGATTCCAAATCAAGGTAGTTTTACACAATACTGAACAAATGTATAGTGTTTGACTTAATTTGGATTCAGACTTGTGGTCGACCTAGTATGCCATACCATCTCCCATAAGAGCTATGACCAGACAAATAAAATGTAGATGCTTACTAA